AATAAAACAAATTATTCTTCCATATCATTGTGACCACTTGGGTCCAGGAAAAGTGATTTATATCACCTGGAGTAGATGCTCTTTGGAATTTTGTTGAGATTCCCGAAAATCTTTGTCAGATTTGCCATGTTATTGGTTCTGAGTGGCAGTCTGCAATGCTACAGCAAGCTATCAGTTTCCGTAGATGCTTTCTTCCTTTGCAATGTTTTCATACTCCTCTAATGTTTTATGGAATCACCATAATGATGAATTGCCACCTATACCCAGCTTTGCAACCCAAATCCTGGAAAATGTAACTCTCCCTAATAACTTTCTCTCATATTTATTCTAAATGCAAATGCTTTCCAAACTCTTTCTAATTAAATGGTGCAGAAATTAAATGAAAGGAAAAAAAGTCCTGATATTTCTCTGTCTTTCAAATTAAAAAAAGAAAATCATAAAATTAAATTTTACTTTACAGAAATGGATGAGTTAGGCTCATTCAGATGAATTTCCAGTACTAATGTCATCAGCCTCAGACTTGAAGTTCCAGACCAGCCATTGGCTCTACTCTTAGTCTTGTCATAATACGTTCCCAGTAGGGGCTGCTTAGCCAAGGACAGTGTTTATTCTATCTTGTCAGAGATGCTCTTGTAGCACCATATATTATGGGATTATTATTAAATAGTATAGATATAGGACAACAAGGGGGATGGAAATCGCAGGGAAATTTCAGAGGAAATTTGAGAGAACTAAGCTTCAAAGGAAGAGAAACCAGACCCTAGGTTGTGCTGGGAACCGGCAGGAGGAGTCCATGGTTCTGCTCATACGTGCTGCCCTTCACGACGTGGCTCTTCTCTCCACGGGCCTGTGCTCTCTATGCCTTTCTGTGGATGCTTGTGGTCTGCACAGTACTCCACATTTAGAGACAGGATCTGACCAATATATATTCCTGATATCAGAAATTTAAGAGATAAGACTTTAAGGCATTTACATTGTCATTCCCACAGACCTACCTCATACAGAGAAAACCTTCCACCCTCAAGACTCTCCCTGGCACCCCTCACCTTGATCTGTGTTTCCACAACACTCTCTTTAGGGCACCCTTGACCTCTGCATTCCTCAGGCTGTAGATCAGGGAGTTCAGCATGGGGTTGAAAAGGCTGTAAAACAGGGAAAGGATCTTCTGCTGCTCCTCAGGATGGTGGAACTTGGGGGCCATATACAGGACAATGGCACTGCCAAAGAAGAGCCCGACCACGCAGAGGTGGGAGGAGCAGGTGGAGAAGGCCTTTCTGCGGCCCTCCCCTGACTGGATCCTCAGGATGGCCAGCAGGATGCGTGAGTAGGAGACCAGCACCAGGCAGAGGGGCCCCACCAGGATGAACACGGAAGCAGCAAAGATGACCACTTGGTTGAGCCGGGTGTCAGCACAGGCCAGCTTGAGGACAGACAGGATTTCGCAGAAGAAGTGGCTGATTTCATGAGGCCCACAGAAGGGCAGCCTCAGGATGAGAACCACGTGGACCAGGGCCAGGAGGGAGCCACATGCCCAGGAAGTGACAGCAAGGACAGTGCAGACTCTCCAGCTCATGATGACAGAATATTGCAGAGGGTGGCAGATGGCCACATAACGGTCATAGGACATCATTACCAAGATGAGACACTCAGTGTGAGCAAAAGCCATGTATAAAAAGGTCTGCATTATGCACGGGGCAAAGGAGATGGCTTTTTTCTTATTCAGAAGGTTTGCCAGCATCTTGGGGACATTGTTGGAAGCATATGAAATATCAACAATGGCCAGATGTGAGAGGAAGAAGTACATGGGGGTGTGGAGCTTGGAGTCCAGCCAGATGAGCCCCAGGATGACCCCGTTTCCCAGCAGGGTGAGGACGTAGAACAGGGAGAAGAGCACACAGAGAAGCATCTGCATCTTTGGGCTGAGTGGAAATCCCAGGAGAATGAATTCTGTGACCCATGTCTGATTTTCTGTCATGCTTTGGTGACAGTGTCTGTACTGGCCACTGCTGTGGCTGGGAGAGGTGTGCTGAGGAGTAAATGCAGAAGTGGATTAGTCATTAAACAGGAAGAGAGGGTTAGTGGTGTACCCGTGCATTGACTCAGTCAGCAATGTTTTTCAGAATCTTTATGTCAAATCCTTTAATCCCTAATGAAGGAGAAAGAAACTCAGTTCAGGTAACTAGTGTAAGTCAACACAGGGTATCATATACTATTTCCATTTCTACAGAATTTTATTTAACTTTGATGGTAAGACCCACATTTTTACTACCATAATGGCAGTCACAGAGTAAACTGTTTCCCAGAATGATTAGCCATTTCATTTTTGAGAAAGGACCATATCCATGTTCTCACATATTTTTCACTTTCTAACTTATTTAGTTCCCATATTTTATTCCTATTTTCTCTTCATCATTTTGTTTTCTCATATTTTATTACTTGTGCAAAGTACATTGCACTTAGCAGGTGTTCAATAAACCATCATAGAGGAATATATGAATGCAAGAATGAAAGGATGACATTTACAAATGCAATTTCAAGTAGGGCCATTTCCCTGTTTTCACTAGTTTCAGGGCTTTAGCAAACGAAGCTTACATTTAGTATTTTACTTCTTGGTGCTACCCAGGAAAATTTGGCTATTTCCTTTCTGGGCATGAGTAAAGAGTGGCATCACTAATTTGGCCAGTATTCATGAAGTAATTTCTGATATATGGTCAGGGCAAGTGGTTATTTATGTGAAGAGTTAACAGTATAATATTCCTGCTCCTGCCTTCACTCCACCCCCTTGCAGGGCTGCTTCCCTGGTTCTGAGTAGCTGCTGTTTCTGGTACACTGCCCAATATAGTTGTTGAATGAAAGAATGGATGGATGGACGAACAGAAGGCTTTACACTAGGAATAACATTGAAAGGGCATATTTTAGATTTTAATCAAGTCTTTCAAATCTTCTTTAATTTTCTTTGGCTGCCATTTCACCAATCATATGGCCAAGGGGGCTACAGAAGGGAAAACCTGGATGTTTCATAAAAGTATGCAATGGATAGCTTAATGTGTAGCTTATGACTCCACCTCTGCAAATGCTAACCCTATCTTAAGCCCAGAAAACTTCCTGCCCATAAATTGACCCTGTATCTCCCATTCAGTACACTGATTTCTGGAACCCTTCCATCCTCCAGATTCCAGCTTCTTTAAACTACCACACTTTGCAAAACACCCTTTACTCACTGTGGTAGTGGATTGCTCTTGTCTCAGAAATAGGGTTGGATTTAGAAGAAATCGTGCCGAGGTCAAGGCAGCTTTTGCAGGTCAGGTCTGAGGATCTTGCTCCCTCTAGGAGCCTCTGAAAGAAGAACTTCCCAGTTGCAGGACTTGTCAAAGTGTTCTCTTAATGCAGGCGGTGCAGGGACTGTGGCCTGCTCACTGGAAACACCAGCAGAACAGGCTTTATGGAGGGGTCATCTCCACCCGAACCCTCCTAGATTGTCCCTGAGGACCAGGACACATAGCACTCAGACTCCCTATCTACCAGGAGAACCAAAAGTTGTTTGTCTTTCTTTCTCCATTTCTCTGGGCCCTGGGGATGGATGTTCACAAGAAAAGGAGCTGGCAGGAGATGACTTAATACCCAGCTGGCACCCTAACCTGGAATTCATATAGTAATAAGAACATACATACTCCTGGGACCACACTGCAAACTACACTCCCCAAGTATTTGGATGGTGATGGGCTGATGGATCTCATTCTTGCTCGATTTGGATTAAGTGGAGCTTGGTGGGGGCAGAGTATCATCCTCATGTGATAATGGCTCAAAAATCTCCTTCTCCTTAGGTAGTTCTAATGCAGGTGTTGGTAGACATGAAAAAACACTTCTATTAACCTTCCCACACTGGGGTGAGAAAGATTCTGAGGCCTTTCCACGGAGTACCTGAGATTGGATATAGGGCAAAAGAAATAAGGAAAGACAGACATTAGGGTCAACCCAGCCTTGAAGGGGCATCATGATAGAAGCTCTGGTGTTTAGAGGGCAGCAGATGTCTGATTCACATCTTTACTGTGATGTCCCCAAGAATTTAGTGAAACCTCAGACTGAGGTGTTGTATTTATATTTACATGATAAAGCAGAGACAGAGGATGCCCTGAAATACTTTCTGATTGTTTCTTTTATGTCCATATCTCTCTCTCTCATGTGTGTGTGTGTGTGTGTGTGTGTGTGTGTGTGTGTGTGTGTGTGTTTGCTGGTTGGGGAATGTTTTGGAGAGAAACATCCAAAACTTATTTATCAGGACACATTTGGTTCTTTGCTTGAGAGAGATGCAGGTTGTTAATGTGTGAGCCACGTGGTTCGCTGCTACCAAAGGAGGGAAGGAAATATGCCTGCGGTTTCGGCTCACAGACTATAAAGGATTCAAAGCAGGTATATTTTTATGGCCAGAATAATGAAGCTCAAGGAATAATTTTCCTACAACCTCTGAAGGAGTGATAAGAAAAGTTTAGGAACTATGTACGGTGGTTAGAAAAAATAGCTGCAGCACCTAACAAAAACAAAATGAATTTATTGACTATCTAAAACTGGAGAACTAAATAAAATATCACCAGGATGCTTTTCAATTATTCATATATTATCTACATATGGATGTTTTATATCCACAATTATCCCTGTGTAGATGCTTAATAATTAATTGTCTCATGCATTAATTAATCCACTCATGCAATTTACGTTTATTGAGCATCTTCTCTATGTAGGCATTGTCCTGACCTAGACATGGGAGAAGAAAACATTAATAAGATACTGTATCCATCTTCCAGGACTTTGCAGTATCCCTGCAAATAAACAATTTGGGACTGTGATACAAGCATGCACAGTACACCATGGGACCAAGGGAGGGTATGGTAGATTACTCTGAGAGGGTGCTGGGAAAGGCTTCAACCATAGATGGATGTTTAGAAATGCTTCAGGAAGACATCAGATGGATAGGACATGCCAGGCTGTACCTTAGGGTGTAAGAGGGGCACAGAAAAAGAATGATACTGAAAAAGGGGTTCATGGGCAAGCTTCTGTACCATGTCAGATATGCTGGACTTCATTGTAAATAGAGTAGAATGATATGACTCGATGTGTGATTGCTAAGTTTACTTTTTGGTTAATGTGAAGAACATTTAAAAGAATAAGATTGGAGACTTAGTCCAGGCTACCTTAAAAGTCTGCATGTTCAAGTGACAAATGATAAGCATCTGAGTGAAGGTGATAGCCTTGGGGATGGGTAGGAGGGAATGGATGTGCAACATGTAAAGGAAATGCAATTGTCAGCATTTAGGGACTTTTGGTATGTGGGGAGGAAACAGCAGAGCTAGGTTGCTTCCCAGGTTTCTGATTTGTGTGGCTGTATATAAAGTGTTTTCATTCACTTACGTAGACAATACCTGGGGAAGAACATATTTAAAGGCAAGAGTTAAAAAAGAGTATAATTTTGAACATGATGGGTTTGATGTCCCTGAGATATATAGGTGAGCTTATCCAACAATGAATTAACTAAATTATTTTGGAGTTCATTAGAGATATCTGGGCCAAAGATATGGATTTGGGAACCATATGATCGTTAAAGTCATGATAACAAATAAGGGTATTTAAGGGGAGCAGTTTTAATGAGAAAACAAAAAGGACAAGAACAATATCCTAATAATTACCAATATTTAAGAGATGGACAGAGGAGCTAAATCTCCTAAAGAGAGCAAGAATTTCAGAGAGAGAGGCAGGCAGCAAACCAAAGAATATGAATGAAAGGAATCAGTGAGCTCTGCTATTAATACTTGTCATCCCAGGAGGCAAACTAAGATACTCACTTTAATCCTATGAGTAATTCTAAGTCTATGTTTTAGGAATGAGAATATTCTTCATGTAAAAAGCCGCACTGAATTTAATACTTGTAGTGAAATAAAATAAAACCGAAGTTACTAACAGATGGCCAACACTATCCTTCAAGAATAACACAGCACTTTTTTAGTTTAATTTCCCATTTTCGTTAACCTTTACAACAGTGAGCATTAAGTGATATGTATGGAAAATTTTAATTTCCAAAGAGCCTATTAGTAAGCTGTTAATGAGAGATAAATATAAATGTGCGGCAACTTCATTGTGAAAATTAAAAGTAATTACTTACAAGTGAAAATGAGGACTCGACAGAAGGTGATGCCAAGGATGGAAAGGCAGATGAACAAAAGTTTCCAAAGTGAGGCTTATCAATAATTTACCCAGGCAGAAACCCACTGTGTTCAAAAAGAGCTTCTAACAGTCCCCCTGGAAGCACACATTATGCTCTAGTAACTCATAAACATTATTCTTTTTTTTTTTTTATTTCAGCATGTTATGGGGGTACAGATGATTAGGTTACGTATGATGCCCTTACCCTCCCTCCCCCCAAGTCCGAGCTTCAAGTGTGTCCATTCCCCCGGAGGTGCGCATTGCACTCATTGTTTGTGCATATGCCCGTCCCCTCCTCCCCCCTCTCCCCTCCCCCTGCCCAACATCTAATACATGTTATTCTTATATGTGCACTTAAATGTTGATATTCTTAATTCCTCAGCACACTCAGAAAGGGTTGATGGTTGGAAAAGTAATGGAATTTCACACCTTCTTATTTCTTCTCCAGTTAGGGGACAAAGGTCAACATAATTTCTCATATTTCCTGGGACCATAGGATAGTCTCAAAGGGAAGGAGAAAGAGACATCTTCAAACACAGAAGAATCAGTATCCGATATTGAATGTATTAATAAATATAATTCCCAAAGACAAATTGTATGTCTGTTAATTTGTTGCTTTTTAGAATACAGTTAAATTCCCAACCTTTACCTCTCAACTGCTAAGCATTTTGTTGACTCCATTGACAATGGAGAAATGTTTCTCCAAGCACAGTCCAAGGACCACCAGCATAAAAACAGTACTTCACCCTTAATGAGGGAGCAAAAGTACCTCGCAAACTCTAAATCTCAGTGTATATGTAAGGTACTA